GACTATTTTCAATATACATACCAATAATTGCGGTGGAAAAATTAAAAAGAAAATATTTCTGTATATAAGGCTAATAAAATAGTTGACTATGAGAAAAACAAACTTGCTCAGGATGAAGGGAGTAGATTAAATAGCCAAAGGTCACCTAAACTAACGTTCCTTAATGATTGTGAGTAGCAATTTCTATGGATGGTTAAAGGCCTCAGAGAGAACAAAACGAGAATAGATATCAACTAAAAAGATATCAGAGACCAATAAATCATTACAGGTGTGAATGATAGTGCAGATAAAGCAAGATAAAACACTTTAGATAATTACTTGACAGTAAATACAAATATGAGGTTTACGAAGTAAGTGGAGTAAAAAATGGTGAGAGTTGGCTTTTCCTTTGTTAAAAAACTTATAATTTATTCCTACTTATTCAATATATTTTTCAAAAGTCCCTTGTATACAAAAATAGGCAGTCATTTTTGGACACCTGCGAAAGCAGTCTTTGAAGAAGTCGTATTCGGCTCTGCAGGAGCAGGTGTGGAGGCGTTGATGGACTTTTCTGTAGAGCGAGGAGACATGCTGACAGCTGCAGCCTGGCGTTGGGCCGCGGCCGCCTCCTCATAACAGATAATTGAGTACAACCAAAACCAGACGGCATCACGACAATTGTATCGCGGTGCCACTTCATGTCCATCGCCTGCCAGATTTGGAATCAACCCATGTCGAAGAAGGCTAGCATAACTGAGAATTAGGTCAGCTGTATCCTGAATAAAATTTGTTATGAAAAAATGAAGAAGTATATAGTACACTGGGGATAAATAAACAAATAGACAGAGGACAATTCATAAATCCGAATAGCAATTGGGTAGAAAGTAAAGAGCACTTCCACTAAAAATGACAATGGCATTCATATTTAAAATAAAAAGTTCAGCTGTATTATTCTGCATAATTATTCAATAATTATATATATATACACATAGAGAGAGAAAGAGAGACATTCTTAATCCAACTCCATGCACCCCCATATCACTTATTTTTTTACACATTGTTGTATGATTCAGTGATTATCTAAAACGGAACCTTAAAAATGATCTAATTGGATGTTAGGCAACTTTAGGAACTACTAGAGATACTGTTCTGATTCATGAAACGATATATATGTATATATTTATATCATTTTTTAAGGTTCAATTGTAGATAATCACTTAAACATACAACAGTGTGCAAAAAAGAAGTGATATGGGTGGGTGCATGGAGATGTATAAAGAATGTCCAAAATAAAATAAGAGATAAGGTCTCAACTCCGATCATCAAAAGTTAGACGAACTAATTAGTGATGAGAAAATAAGCATTGTGTTTATCAGCCAGAACAATAAAATAAGTATTAGGCAAGTGGAAAATCACTAGCGGTTTAGAAAGCTATTGCCAAATGAATATTATCAAAATAATTGAATGTGAATAAATGACTTTCAGAACAATTTATACCCTCTAACAAATGACAGATAAACAAAGTCACTGAACACTCATACTTGCCGACCCCTACACTTGATTATTCACAGCTTACGCTGAAACGGGCTGTATCCTATTCAAGCAAGCTATTACACACTCAAATTACATTTTGAAGTGGATCATATCTTCGTACTTGTTTTGGTATTGCTTTAAAATAATCCTTTATCAATGTGGCCGAATCATTTATAAAATAAACCCGAAAGATTAAATCAGATGATAAAATTCAATTCAAAATGCATAGTCCAAATTCAAAGAAATTTCCACCGATTGTTTCTTGAGTAACCCATATAACTTCCAAAGTTGGTTAGGATAAGGTGAGTTCGGTAAAAAAAAAGAGCTGATAGGATGTCCGACCAAAGCCTGTGGAGTCTAAACAAGAAAATCCAGTAATGAATTTAAAGTTAAGGACAAGTGCGTTGTCCCTCAGGACTTGTGATCCTTTGCAACTCATAGTCAAGTAGACACCGGCTCCTAGATATTTAAGGATGGATGACATTGATTGCTCAAGCCCAGTTTTGAAAGAATACATATCAAGAAAGAACAAATAATGTGACGTAACAAAAAACAGATACATCGGAATTCAATTTCATACACTACCCTTTGATTTAGGGATTCATTTCAAGCACACATTATGGAAAGAGTACAGCACTACCAATATATGTTGAATAAGAACTGTATTTAATATAGGCCGCATAAGGTAGTAAAAGAAGTTAAACTAATGGAATTTAATTCCTTTTTAGGGGTACTGATCGGACCCAGATGAGGTCGAATCTGCAATTCACTTTATATGAAAATATCTTTTGGTAGGCAAAGCTAAGTTAAGAGGTTGTTTGACCTTGTTTTCGCAACATGGTCATATTGGTAGGAAGACTTAGAGGAAC